CCTAGAAATTAAATATTCTATCGGTGTAGGGCCGGGCCCGGGCCGTACTTCTACAGGGCCGGGTCGGGCCGGATCATGAAATTCCGGCCCGTGCAGTGTCCTGCACGCTACTACCTCCCCTCCCTTTCTCTACCGATGAATGGATGGATGTTAATGGATATACCCTTCGTAACGGCGGCAGCTTGCGCCACCTAGCCTAAGGTTATAAAGACAAACATATGATTCCTCCATCCCTTCTAAACCAATTTACACCCTAATTATCACAAGGTAGTGTAGGACATCACCAGGATGTCATCTGAAGGATCGGACAAAAGAGCAACAAAAAAACATCTCCCTCTGGTAAGAGAGTCGCCAATTTTCCTCTAGTCAAACTTTGGCGTTACCTCAGCAACGGTCCCACTAGGGTACATGGTTGAGACTTTGGGCCGGCGCGACGTGGGAGGGAGTCCCAATTTACCTCTGTCCCGCCTGTACACAGCTGTGCTCGTTAGTTGTAGATAATTTCCACCAGTCTTCTAATCGACCCCATGTGACTGTAATCCTTTTTCTGCGCCGTCCTCTCACCGTCGCCAGCAAAATCCAGGGCCGAAGCCAAGTCTGTTACCCCCTCAAGGAGGGCAGGGCTAAGCCCCGTGCACTTTAAAGCCAAGTGCTCTAGTGTCTCGTTCTCAGTATTGCAGGCACCACATAATGGGGGTGTCTCTCTAATTACATTTAGCCCTATACGTGCTCGTCCTCAAAACTCCACTTCTCGCCTCAAACAGCAAAAAACTTCCCAGTGAAATTTCAATGACATTATCTTCTTTTATGTTCGGTTTTTGTGTCCTGTACACTGTTCGAGCTGCTTCGTCCTGCATTCTTACCTTCAACATTTCATTTCTGCTTCTTTCACTCTCTTTTCCACCGAAGTAGACTGCTATGCCCCATCACTAGTTTGTAGGTATTTAAATGTAGCTTTCGGATTCGGTTTGTCCATTTTGTGTTTAAGCTTTTATTGTATAAATACTTGAATACCTTCCGTGTCCACTGCGCACCATCAATTTCGGTCAAACTTTGTTAAAATTTCAACTTATTAATTGCCTCCCTGCTCTCAAAAGTCGACCGGCCATGTCCCTTGTACTCCCTCATTTGGTGTCTTTCCGTGTGCTCCCAGTGCCAATCTGCCTACGCTTTTTTGTCGAATTTCTGATCCTGATTGAACCTCGGATTTTATGCACAGTACCCCATTGCCAAAAAACAGTTTTGGTACCATCACTCCTTTCCAAATACCTCTGACAACTTCATATCTATTATAGTTTCATAGTGCCTTGGTCTTCATATTAGATGAATTTGTTTTATCTTTTCTATTTATATTCTCCTCATGTTACTCTAGATATTTCCTTCCCTTATTAAGCCAGACTCCCAGATACTTGCAGTTTCCTAGACGCTCTATTTAAATGTCTTCTAACCACAGGGGTTCCCTCTTTTTGTCGTTAAACACAATTAATCCAGATTTGTCACTAATGAAATAAATGCCCAAGGTTTCCCCTTCCTCTATACATATGCCAGCTAGTTTCTGTAACGTATTCTGGGTAGTTTCCATAAGTTATATGTTGTCCACTTACATCAGTCCTGGTCTTACTTGTGATACATTTCTCCCTCCTTCCATATAACTTACATCAAAACCTTAGTTCTCTGCTCTAAATTATTTTAAATTTCATTGATATATATCACGAAGAGCAGAGGTGACATGGGGTGCCCTGTCGAACCCCTCTTTTTATTGCTGCGGGTTGTGTAGTTTCTGCTTTCTATGTTAAACCTAACTTCTCGTCTGTGTACAGTTGCTGAAGAAACCTAACCAAATTTGCGTCTGAGGTATATTCCTTCAGCTGACCCCAGAATTTTTTTCAATCATCAACTTATTGTACGCTCCCTTGACGTCCGAAAAAGCTAACCATAAAGGAATTCGGTTATTAATTGTTATTTCTATACGTTGTATGGCGGGTAATAAGTTATCTTCCAGTCTTCTATCTCTTCGGAATTCGTTTTGGAGCTCGCACAGTATTTTCATATCCTCTGTCCATTCCTTCATTCTTCTCTTTTCTGCCTGCATAGCTATTCTGTACATAACTAAAGTTACCTTTATTGGCCGATATGTCTTTGAATCCTATGCCTTAATATATTAGCTTCGTGTTACTTAGTTTCCAATCATTGGGTACATATCTTCCAATAATTATTTGATTACTCACACGACGTTGCTTCATTTTGCTTGTTTTTCCTGGTTTCTTAACGAGTTCCATGGGTATGTCGTATGGGCCTGTCGCTTTACCTGCTGGAACCTTACTTTCTGCCTTATCCCATTCTCCCGTGGATGTCTCTAATGTTACGGAAATCTGCTCCTCCTCTACACTGCTGCTCTCAGCGCTATCCCCTGTCCCTATCTCCCACCTCTACTCAAGCTAGAAGACAACCTCATCGATTGTCCGCCTGATATATTCTCGTGCCTATTTCCACTCTACTCCTCTTCTCTCCTGTGGTCAGTATGTGGTGGGAACCCTCTGTATTTCTCTCCTGCGCTTTAGTGTGCTCCCAAAACGTTTTTGAAGCGTTTCTATTTTGTTTATATATTTTCATCATCCACTGCACTCCTGCACTCGCAATCTTGGTCTGCACTAAAGGTGATGTCTCTCTTTTCCGTCCTTAAAATCCCTCCAACATTTATGCTGCTTCAGCTGGCAAGGCTCCCGTTTTTTTGCCCACCTATGCCCCCTAGATTCCTCTTGGCGCCGCAATATGGCTGCTTTTACCTCCTTATCCCACCAGCTTTTTGGTCTGTGTCCTCGTTCTTGCTTTTCTTTTTGTTTAGTACAGTACTTCTCTAATTATCTTTAAAAATTCCTATCCAATCCTTATACCTCCATTCTCTTTTTGCTTGTTTCAATAGAATGTTCTCAACACTTTCATGGACCTTTGGTATTTGAGCTTCATTTAGTTTCGATTACCCGCTCTTTCCTGAGCCTGTTGTTCTGGTTCGGATGCGCCAAATTTAATATTAAATCTTTTGTGGTCACTCGCTAAGCTTGTTTTAGCTTTCTCGGTTATTTTCATACTTCCTAGCCTGTCATAGAGTTTGTGGGACATGAGGCAGTAGTCTATTGTTGAGTGTGAGTTGTTTCGTTCCCACGTTGTTCTCCCGCCTCATTTTGCTTGTGCATTACCTAACACTATGTCCAGGGCATCACAGAAATATTATAGAAACTTTCCGGTTTTCCGTCAAACTATTCTAAGTGGGCATTCATGTCGCCTATGATAATTAGTTTCTGATGAAGGCCATTTTCTTTGATGTCGCTCGATATACATGTAAAATGTTCTTTATTTTCTTCCCTTGAGTCATTTCCCATTTTTCAAGTAAGTAAACCCCAGAAGTATGTTCACACCTGCCACCCTACCTTTCAGTCATAAGTGTTATCTGCAGTTTTCCTTCTTTCTTTCTCAGTCTTGTCCTTTAGATAACATGCCTGGACCTGCGCCTTTGCGCTCACCTTTCCTTCGGTTGCACGCCATCCAGGAGTTGCCAGGCATGTACGGTGGTACCTCTTCATTTCTACAGTGAGCTTCCGCTACCCCATACACTGTAAAAGTTTCAGCCTCTAATTGTTCACCAATCTCCTCCCAGTTTATTTTTTATCTACATCCCTGCTTGTTTATAGATCCTATATTGGGTCGACTATTGCTCCCTCGTATGTACGGGGCTTCCTCCTGCTCTCCCTGCTGCTCTCACGATTGGGAAATCTCAAGAGATTTCCCAATCTCTCGTAGTGGTACATATGGTACTGGCACATCTACGCCGGTGTCCTGCGGGCTCCATGGGTCCCAAAAAAGTTACGACATTACGTCAAATCCTGTCCCCTATCGTGCTACCTGTGGCTCCACTGTAGCGGAAGCCCCATGCGAAAGGTTCGGAGCCAGCCTCATACACCACCCTGTTTAGTTCCAATATGTCGTGCTGAAGTCGTTGGCTCATCCCCCTAATCACCCGGCCAGCTTCAATAACCCGCTGCTTTGTTTGAAAAGAGTGTCCACAGACCTCTGGGCTAGTGCAGATTTGCACATGCACCCTCTCAGGGACCTCCCTCAGCTTACGTATCCCAACCTCTATGTGTGTGCCGAGGTTCTAGCTCCTTCCCTTGAACGCATCATGAGTCCCGCATGTACTACTACTAGGTTATGTCCCACCATGTTATATATATATATATATATATATATATATATATATATATATATATATATATATATATATATATATATATATATAATATGTAAACCGAAGAAATCGCAATTGAGACGGTTGTTCGAGTTTTTAAAACACATTATTCGTAAAGTTCGTCAACGTTTCGACCTGAGACATATCTTTTTCGAGACTGTCTCGAAAAAGGTTTGTCTCAGGCCGAAACGTCGACGAACTTTACGAACAATATGTTTTAAAAACTCCAACAACCGTCTATAGTGCGTTTTTTTTTCGTATCTACTTTTCGTCATTCGGCGCTACGTTTTTCTCTCACTCTCCCTCTGTCTCTCTCTCTCTCTTTCTTTATATATATATATATATTTATATACTTAAAGTGTTTCTGTTTATTGAGCGAATAAGGCAGTAATATATACCTTTCTAAACATATGAAAATACCCACCCCGATACGCAAGTTGGATTTCAAATAAAACCATCTCTTATGTACGGGAGAGTTCTTTAGTCATCATTTTACAGTCTGTATTTTGTAATGAAGATTTTTAATATAGTTTTAAATTAATGTTTGTCAGTTGTTTATGGGGTAATAAGAGCAGGGGTTATTCTTGTCAAAATAAGCTTCCTTACAAAGTATTCAGTGCTTGTGAACAGGATTTTTAATATTTGGCACATTTTACCTAATATTTTTGTTAAACCGGCACTAGAGTATATATTTAGTAATGCGAAGTTGATGGTGAATGAGTGTACATATGTACAGCATCCGTAAAACGACGTTTGGTTAATAGTATATTGCAACGAACATCATTTTATCGAAGTGGAATGTATCATGAGCGCGATGACAGTTGAAGAATTCCTGAAAAAGATAAAACACTTCTTGAAAAAAAGATAGTGTGAGGTTGATTCTGACCTATTCTTATCCCGGGAACCTGAATATCACGTTCGTGCTGTCCCGAAGATGTAACTAAAGGTCAGAAAACACGAAAAACCTCCGAGCAATCGTGACGTCAAACTGGGATCTTTGGACCGCCAAGCACGTGTCGCTCGTGTGGGCAGAGCGTACACTGGCAGGCTTGTCAGGTATATCTCCCCGCACTGACACCATCCGTGACGCCTATTTCTTACCTTCTTGAAAATTGCGAGAGTGCGCGTGCAAGCTTTGACAGGCGCTGAAGACGCGCGAGAGCAAGGATTCTAAAAACTCTTAGTATGACGCCACACCCCGGGAAGGAGGGACTTCTGTGGTACTTTAAAAAAATAATTTCTGCAGCCTTCCTGCACCGAATTGGAATACGATCTCGATATTCGTAATCCAGGGGCCCGAATGAAGGCCACTGAAGTGTTTTTTTTGTTCTCAAATACAGAACCGCTTTAGTTTCCCTTTAAGATAATTATTTATCGGCGAACCGTCGTTTGTGTCGAAGGCTTTTTCGAAACTAAATCATATTTTATTATAACGTAATACTGAAGATAGTTTGGCGAGAAGCCAGTGGTATCTACCTTGGCAATAAGGTTTGAGCTAGGTTATAAACCTAATATGGGGGAGACGTTACAATAAAAGACTCAACAATGAAATTGAATGAGTTTTGGTTTAAGATACCCAATGTATCAAAAGAAAATACCGTATCGCGCGCATTTACCTCGCCCTTAGATTGTCACTATATTTGTTGGCAAGTAGACAAGTACAGTTCATATTATACTTATCGACATCCGTGTCCGGATTTTCAAAGGTTACAGTTCAAAAGGAAATTTTATGAGGAAAGCGCATCTCGCTTCAGAAGCTATCCTGATTCCTGAAGACGCGATGCCACCGATGAAGGTTGTGGTACGAGTTCACTGCGATCAGTGAATGTCCACAGCCTACCGCCTTGTCTGTGACTCACAAAGCACGTGACTCAACCACGCCTTGTATTTATGAGAAGAGTGACCCGCGGGGATTGAACAAACAACTAACTGGTATCCGTCCTTGCTACCAGTTACAAGCTTTGTGAGTAGTCAATTTGCACGTGAATTTTTTGATCGCGAATTAAGAAAAAAGCAAAACCAGGCACCACTTAGAAGCGATCACTTCAAAAATCCGGGGTGTTATTGCCCCAGTCAAGTTAAATGGCGCAAGGTTGTTGCTTCTCTAACTCCCACTACGTTTTGTAAACAAGTGGAAGCTCTAAGCTAGATGCGCCTAGCCTAAGTCAGTTATAATGTTCACTAGCGTTAATAAAAGAAAGATCACAATCGGCTACCTTTTATCGAATGAGGATTTCCAGAAGACGGACTTCATGCCTTTTACCAATTGGCTTCGAAAAAAGGAATAAAAATAAAAACACGTCTGTTTGAAGTTAGATTTGATTTGCTCGGACCCGAATCTGTGAACCCTGGAGCGGAGATGTCCGAGTCAGTGTTTTGTAAGAGGAACACATCAACTGGCAGATAGAAAACTGAAAACCAAAGAAGTCTACCGTTGTAAACCTTTTTTTTATGCATTAGTTCTGACTTTTTTTTCCGGTCTTCAGCGTCTTCCTTTTTCCTTTTTTTTAACTGCGAACGTGGCGCGGAAGCTTTTAGGCAGTCTCTTACCGGCTTGCTCCGCCATTCAGACTTCTCTCTTCGATGCTTCGTTGGAGACGAGCACTTTGCCGCTTCGAACTGTGAAACTAAAAAAAAAAAATGCAGCTTTAGGCGAATCATAAAAAAAAAATAATATTATTAAGAAAAATAGTAGGTCGTGTAACTTTCACTAAGGCCCAGATATTTTTTTGTTTTGCTTTGTTTCCTGCTCATACTTGTACCTCGCTGTCTTTCCATTTCAAAACGGACATGTAGTCCCGTCTGCCGATCTTTTAAGCTGAGAGCTAACGGGCAAGACTTGAAAAAGGCACCAATCGACGATCGTCATGAGCCTTTTTTAGGCTCATGATAAAATAACGCGAAAGAGACAAGGACAAGCGAGTAGACAAGACAGAGGCGCCAGCTAGAGTAGAGAGGGCAGCATGGGCAGCGAGCCTAAGTGCGAGCTTTGGAATTTTTTTAGTCGGTGCGTCGTGAATTCACAGCACTTGTCATCAAAGTGAACCTGGCAAAATTGCCGTGAGGAAAACTTTCTGGTAAAATCCGATGCCTTTTTTTATTATTACGCTCTCTTCAAATAATATTACTAATATTGATAAAAATATTAAATGATATATCGTGATTGCAAATACTGAGGATTCAACGAAAGATTCTTTTACTCCTTGCGTGAACCACTTGAAGTGGTTCACGATAGCCTCAACAGAAACATTTGAGAAGCGCATTAAGCATGATTGGAGGCCGCTATTGCTTGAGTACGGAGTGTTTGATTGGATCCGACTGCTGGATCCGAGAATAGCCGGTTTCATGACGAACGCTGACGAGACCCTTATGTACATGAACGTTCGGAGTGCGTTCTCAAGCAATCGTGGATTCGGACACATGGCAGCGCGTGTACCAGATAAAGCGAATATATATAATTAACTGCTGGGCTAGTTAATAATGCATTATAGAGGACAATAGCGCAAAAAACACGGACAAGTACAAGAACAGGACAGGGCAGGACAAAGTACTTTGTGCTGTCCTGTCCTGTTCATCTACATGTCTGTGTCTTTTGCGCTCCTGTCCTCTATAACGAATCTTTCTAGTGGGCCTAAAATCTAGTTCCAAACATTCAAATAAAAATAAAAAAAAACACCAGAATAAAAAAAAAATGAAGAACGTTTTAGTAGTTAAGAAAATACGCTGTTGCCCACTGGGGCTTTTATTTGGAATATGATCGCACAGCTAACATTTGCGCGCAAACGCACATGCACACACACGCACGGTCCCATACACGAGCAGTCAAGGGAAGAGTAGTGGGGCCGTACAAGTTTACTTCTCGCCTATTTTTTATTTGTTTTTTGGCTGTGTACGACTGCGAGTGAATGAGAGCACAAGGGCCGTGTTCAGCGTTGTCTCCTAATTAAACTTGTACCAGGTCTGTCCAAGCATACCATCCCGGCATTTTTGTTATCTCCCTACTCCTGGGCATAGCTTCGATGTCATTTGGCGGAGAGTCAGACAGGTCCCGTGAGCGCATACATACACAATCACTTTGCTGTTCGTCTACTCAGTCGGCAGCCATACTTCATTGAATTAGGTGAAGCGCTGTGTGATCATCGGAGATAATATGACTGAAAGTGCTGGCAACCGCACGTGCATCAAGAATTGCTTATAACTTCAATGTTTGTCAGCCTACACTGTTCGAAACATCAAGAAGGCTTTCGGCAATAACTCAGTGAGTGACGCTCAGATAAAATTCTGTAATGGCTGAGCGATGGCGTAAGAAGGGAACGTCTGAAGTTTTAGGCAGCTGGGACGGGCAGCTTTTAGTCGACAATACGTTTTGCCAAGTTTACTGTGCAGAAACTTCTATCAAAACACTGACGTCGCACAGGTATGCCAGCCTCCCTGCAGAGCAGTTAAGGCTTTCTGCGACTTTTTACATTTCCCAAAGCTAAAAATGCAGTTCAAAGGCGGGAGATATAAAACCGTTGACGAGAATAACTAAGTAACGGCGAAGCAGCTGATGGTGATCTCGAAAGAAAGCTTCGCAGGATGCTTTGAAAAGTGGATAGCAGGCGGGCGTAACTACAACTGTGTGCGGTCCCACTGGGAGTATATTACAAGCGATTAAGGCGCCATCATACATAAATGCCTATCTTTTAGAAAAATTAAAAAAAAAGCTAAATATTTTCTGGTCAGACCTGGGTATTGTTTGACAGCAGAGTTAATAGGAATTAGGCAATTTTGCAGATATTGAAGAACCGCTAAAATAATATTATTGTTAACATCCTAATGAAATTGCTCGCGAAAAAGTTATCTGAATATGCTCCACTTTAAAGCTTGTCATAAAACGCGCTATGGGATTTCGCTAAGACAGTTTGTTCATATATGTTAATGTGGACAGTTCACCTACGTTCATTGAAGGAAAAGGAGGGAACAGGGACACTAATGGCCTTGTGTGCATCTTTACCTTCGCTTTTTTTTTTTAAACGTAGAAAAACAAAACAAAAAATAAAAAACGTTTTAACGCTACCCATAATCCCGAAATTTGTTCATCCGTCCGTTCGCGCGTTTCCCGCTATATATAGCGGGGAAACTAAATAGCTGCTTAGTTTAACGCGACGTCTACTCGCGTCACATTACCTGACTTCATGTGATCTATACACAAATTTAGTACCCCCGCCAAAGGGTGCGGGAAAATCATTGTCACGTGACACTGATTTTCCCGCACCTTTTAGCGGGAAAATCCCGCACCCTTTGGCCGCACCCTTTGGCACCCTTTGGCGTGACGTCACGCGACCTATTCACCAATCCAGTAGCGTTATGTCACATGACCTAAACACTAATTTTCGTTTTTTGCTAAATATGGTGGAAAGCTTTATGTTACTTGATCTGACGTCACGAGATATGTTATACAGCAAATAAGTTTATCCGCTAAATTTGACCAGAAAATCAATGTCACGAGACCTCGACACCTTCAGTTTGCCGCTGAACTTGGCAGGAAAACTGATGTCACCTGAGCTCTCCCCCAAGTCAGTTTTACCTCTAAATTTAGCAGAGAAAGTAACGCCGCGTCACCTATGCACCCAATCTACCCGCTCAGTCTATTTGGGAAATTTAGAAAAATAGAGGCTCTTTTTTCTCCCAAACAACGGTTCTATATCTTCTAAATAATTTTAAACGGTCGCACCTTAAATACTGCAATTCACAAATTATTGGACTGCGGAGACAAAGGTCAGTGCCATTTTTTTTAAAACATCAGCTGTCCACATTAACCTGGGGTGCATTTGTTGGAAGCCACAAAAT